TGTGGTTACTTCACACAAGGAATCAGCTTCACTCGAAATGTACAGATTCGAGAACACTCATATGTTGAAGAAATGCATTGTGATGGATAGCCAAATTAAGGCATGAATAAAATTCTAAATGTTATGTTACACATTCTGCACTTTTTGTCATCTTTTCCCGTGTGATGAAAGGTCGAAAAAGCCGGCGTTAAGTACGTTACATAGATGATAAATAAATGAAATCGGATGTTCTTTGCAATAGACTTCTTTTCCGATGTTACTTTCACCTACTACATATCAGATCGCGGTTTATTCTCTTGGACTTCCGAGCTTTCATTAATTCCCGTGTAGGCGACACTTGCTTAAGCCTTGTTGCATTGGTGATTTCAGTCGACTCAAATTTGCAAAGTTGTTAGATAAAACGGAATTGGTTGCGAGATTTCATTTTGTTAATATTCTCGTCCTGAGTACGGCGATTTTTGTCTATCAGCTGATCACAATTACAGAGACCTAGACTTCGTACAGCCTGTAAGTCTGCAAATAGAGATTGTGTATGGTCATTGATGTTTCCTGGAATGAATGTCCCCAAGAAGATACATGAGGACACGGTTAAGAAGGCTGACACTGAGAAGGAAGATGCGGAAGTTATAATGATGTTTAAATAATAAGATTTTAAAGAGCGTTAATTGCTACGTACGACATTTTTTTAAGTAAAAACTGAATTTGTTAAGTGTATATTCAATCGTTTTAATAAGTTTGTAAAAAGTTGAAATCTGGAAATTCACGACAATGAAGAATACTTATTGTTTTTTAATGCATTTGAAAAAAAAACCAACCGAAATATATGGTTTGTAGTGAAATTGGAACCAGCCCACTTTCAATTGTAATAAAAGTTATAGTGTTATGTTACACTGAACATGGAAAATGGAATAAGATTTTTTAATTCTTCAAAATTTGTTTGTTATAGAAATAATAGCATTTTTGTAAAATACTGTTTTTAAGTATTAAATAATAGTAAAAGACAAGTATTTTGTAAGTACAAAACAAAAACAAAAAATCACAAATTTATTGTAGAATTTGGCGTTTGGAATGATGTGGAACATCACAACAGAATATATCCATATTGTGATAAGCAAGAAACAGATGCAGAATGCCACTATTTGTGAGTATGTCCATTCTTGACCAATCAATGAAAGTTATTTTCAGGTTTTTTATGATACATGTCTTTACATCATTAAGTTTCTATATCCAATAAATACTACAATGACAACACTTATCTAAATTCAGATTTGTTCTGGTCCCGATGAAACCTCGTTATAAGACTCATTTCCCCCTTGGTAGCAGTAAACAGTTAATTTGCATTTTTCCTGAAATTATTTGTCATGTTTGAGATATACAGGTATAGCAGATTGGTTATGAAAAATACATCATTACATGTATATATATTTATAAACTATATAACAATTACATTAACAGTAGAGAGATGAAATTTGTGTAAAAAAAAATTTCCTCTGATTTCTGACATTTGATTGTCATGGTTACCTACTGAAAAAATGCTAAAAATGCAAAAATACTGCTAATTCCAACCCAACACTACAACTTTCTAGGAGAAATTTAATTCTAAACACCTATCTTACAATCAACAACACTGTCATGGTAACAAAGTACTTACATTTCAGCAAATTCCAACTCGGAAATTCTTCATAACATGACCACATGTGAACACTATGAAAATTTCACTTCCTGTAAAGCTAGTTTTTGGTGCGTAGACACAGATTCGAGACTGCCCAAATAGTAATCTCCAACACAAAGCTAAAATATTATCCTGAAAAAAATGAAACCCCACATTGTCCACTTTAACATGACAGGACCAATTTTAGCAAGGATTTTTTTTTTCATTTTTAATTAAAACCTTTATAATGGGGTAATCTAATGAGCAAAAAAATCACCCATGGCCACACCGAGAAACTGTGTACTGCTACCCTTTCACTTTTTACCGTTTACGACTGTGAGAAAATTATACCTTAACAAGAAAACTTTTTACGCATTCTGTTACTTTATTTTTGTAAGTAACACATTTCTATTGATTTCGCTTTGAGTAGTTTTAACCGCCCTGTAAATTCAAATCACGTCATATTCTTAAAATGGAGAACCAATTGGTCTGAATTGCTCATAACAAAATGGCCAACAGCTCTGTAGCTTGACAACCATTCCAGGAAGCATTTCGCCGATCTTGAAAAGTGTACGACAAAAGTAAAAAAGCAAATACAATCAACATAAGGTTCTTCACTGGCATTGAAATTAAATGTTATGTACTCAGTAATATTGATGTTAATTGGATTTTAACTTTATTACACTTACGAGATTTGTGTTTGGGTCATTACATGCTGAATTCACGTTCATAAAAATATCATGTACATAATACGTCTTACTTTTTGTATTCGTATTTCAGGACCGTGCGTCGTGAGTATGATCAACAAAATACTTTGTCAAATTTTCGGGTTCACATTTTGTGCATAATACACATATCTTATTCGTGTTTGTATTTCGTAAACGATACTTTATCTTACACGTATTTTCGTGTTTATATTTCGTACATGGTACATTATATTATGATAATATCGTATGTTGTACAAATTACTTTATCTTATTTCATGTTCATATTTTATGCACGGTACATAATTTTATTTCCATAATCGTATTGCCTGAGACAGACTAATTCATCTATTTATTATTATTATTATTATTTTTCATTTTCTATCAACAACCTTCCTGTTTAAACTAATTTTTATCCCACTTTGTGTTTAAATATACCTTTAAGATCACCTTGGTACTTGACATTCTGGGTGCCTGATTAAATTTACCTGATGTTTACGGTTTTTTTATCCGGCTAGATATCGATGATAGGTGTTATGTTTAGAAATTTTGAACGTCACCAATTTCGTGCTATTTTTAAGTTTTATTGTCGGCTAGAATATTACACTGTTAACATGGGAAGAGTCAGGAACAAGAAAAGGACTACAACCAACCTTTCCTTAACAATAAGAACTGGATGAAAATGATGACACATTCATTTAAGAATTGTATATGATACACAATTAAAAAACCAATACACATTATACAGCCGTTCATATAAACAAAATTTCCAAATCTCTATTTCCATGTTTAGTTATGTTTAGAAGATACTGTAAAAATATGTCCGGACACAATTGGCATGAAAAATGTTTCCGAATCATATACTGCAGCTATTTTTGGTTTTATTTCATGATGTTTTATCTTTAGTTGGATCTCCACTCAATACTTACATCTATTTACTTACCTGCGTTCCTGACAGTTGGAAGTTCACAATATGATTCGTATCATTGAAATCATACATCTTTAGCAGTTAATAATCCCTTAAAATACGAAAAGAAATGGTGTCTGGTAACTTTGTGTAACTTCATTCTCGCTTCACTTTTGTAAATAAAATCAGTCAACACGAAACACTATATATGTAATTTATTCGGAAGAAAAAGGAAAAGATGATTCCATCAAACAATCCAAAACCTATTTTCAAACGTAAACGACAAAGTCAATTACCTACAAAATGTATAAATATATATGTACCAAATAATATATACACTGATATCGCTGTGTTTGTTTACCTGTTTCGTGCAACAATAATATCATTCACATGCATTCTTTCATACCGAGATATACACAGAGTTATTTCCCTTCCCACAAAAAGCTATACATAGTATCAATGTTCTTTAATATTATATTTCAATAAATGTGATCAAGAAATTTAATTTACGTAGAAATAAGGTGAGGGTGAAAAAAGTGATTTCATATATAATGATGATTTTTGAATATTTAGTGTCAAAAAATTGCAATTATACAAAGGCGGGCAATATCAAACTTCTATATCCTCAACTCAATTCCAACTACGATGACAAAAATTCTAGTTCAAATTTGGTCAGTGCATATAAATGGTAGAACTTTAAATATTTAAATTAAAATGCACTTAGGAATGAACAATATAAATATATGAAAAAAAATGGAAAATGATTCAATGTTTATAGTCGTACTAGGAAACAGAACAGCTTACTTATTGTTTCAATATTAAAGTTGCATATGAGCCAATATTTAAATGATATCGTGAATTGTGAGTACCTCATTAAGTCAATAACGTACATTGAATGACAAAGATAATTTACCTGTAACACATCCGAACCATTTCAGAAATCTGTAATCCTCTTCTGAGAATAAACATCCTATTATGATAAAGACTAGAAAAAACTAACGACATACATGTACAGTGGACTCCATCTAAACCGGATTCTGTGCAATCCAGATATCTGCCTAATCCTGTCAAATAATCAATTCCCAATTCCAACAATATTATAACAATGGATTTCTCTACAAGCCGGAACTCTCTACAAATGGGCCGAATTATTCGGTCCCAAAGGAGCCTAGTTTAGACAGAATCCACTTGTACATTGTATAGCTAAAATATTAAACAAAACTATTGTAAAGTTTGTATTTTTCTATTGTTTAAAATTTCACATGACTGACTACTAAGGGTTACAAATGACGCTATATAAAATGTATTTCTATCATCTATCGTTGGATACAGATTTTGCCATTGACTCTACCTGGATCTGTAGCCAACTATAAGTACATGTATTACTTACCACACCAGGTGGTTCTCTATAACCAGTTCTTTCATCGTGATTTTAAAAGCTATTACACTTTCCTATTTCATCATAAATGACAAATTATTAAATTGGACATTTATTTCAAATCACTATGACTATAATAACAATAGAGATGTTTTCATGAACATGATGACAAAACTTAATTTTTACACAGCCCTCGTATAATTTCACCCACGTTTTATTTGGGTTTATGATAAATTCAGAATTAAAAAACAAAACATGTAAATTGACAATTATTCGATAATAACGTACCAAATTATGAAACGAAAAAAGTGTTTACAAAACATGAATAAGATCTTATCGAAATCCAATATGCGATGCAAACGTTTATATAAAAATGAAAATTGTTGAAAATGAATACAAAATTATTTTACAATTTAAAACCATTTGTATCTTTTTCGCTAATGCGTTAAGCTGACATGTTTTAATATTGCATAATGAAACTGAGCTCAATCGATGTTTAAAACAAAATGATTCGTAGGTAAATATATTTTTCATGAAATTCATATAACATTTTCTGATAACAGAATTAATGACTTATTAGAGATTGTGTTGTTCGTACGACTTCATAAAGGAAGGGATATTGGTATATAACGTAAGAGGAGGTTGACTGTAGAGAATGTGCCGGTCAGTCTTTGTGGAGAGTCATGAAGACTATAGTTGTCATTGGGAAAGCCGGGAAGCACCTGATTGGTTCAGTATGCCAGCAAGCAGAGTCAACATCAATGTGGCTGTGGAGGAAGCGGGCAGAATCGTGGGCATCAAAACAGTGTTGTGTGACTCTTCAGAATCACTCCAATATAGAGTTTGTGATTTGGAGTGAAGTATGTGACATTTGTTTAGTGATAACAACATCAATCACAAGAGGACTGTGACAACATCAGCAGTGTGACATGTTGGAACAGGCTAGACGGTTTCGGGCTAGGATTTGATCACCCTAGTCGGCGCACTTCTGGAGGTTGTAGTGGACAGCGCCGAAACAACCAAGGATAGAGGATCCACGTGAAGATGGAACCGCCTGGCATCAGTAACATCAAGATGTATGAAGGTAATACGTTAATTACTGTAGACCTACAGAAATATAAGAGAGTCTCTATAGGGGGAGACTTATAGGGGAAAGGGGAAGCCGAGAACCCTGACGCAAATCTCATTAAATGTTCAATATTTTAACATATTGGCAACATAAATACGACCATTAATAAGTTTAAGTTGTCGTATTAAGAATTGTTCGATAACACCATTGTTACATGTAGAAAAGGATGAGCTTACCATTTCAAACACTGATACATGTCAATATACTTGTAACATAAAACTTTCTCTAGGTAATAAAACTGTGATTATGTTGAGGATGGCTACCCTGCTTGGAGAACTAGATATATAGTTATAACGATCGGCAGGGAACAACAAGTATGTTTATGTTTAGTTCATTCTTGTTGTATTAGCAAATCTGATTACATTAAGGGTTCGTGCGCAACATGAGACGGAATTGGAGATTAATGGAAGATCATTTGCAGAATATGTTTACATTAAGGATGCATGTCCCGTGGAAAACCGTGGTTAGGACGACCTGTAAACGACTGTTTACAGTCAAGACAGCAAAACAGCTTTCCGTCTTTCAGTAGGAATTGCTGGTTGATAAGATTGCGTGAGCAAACATGACAACTGAAGCAATGTGGACATGCGTGCCAATGGAACTCGCCGTGTGACAATCCCGGGGAATCAGCTGTGATGGTTTTGCCGCATGTCACACAAATCTTTAAAAAAAATTTTGGGAAGAATAAAGATTTGATAAAATTATACGATTCGGGTACTTACAGTCGCGGGAAACTTCAAATGAATTTATAACTAGAAATAGACACACACAAGTTAAAATCAGATCATTACATTTTGCATAATATATGGATATATCAAACACTGAAGAAATGAAAAAAAAAAAAAAAAAAACGCTTCCGGTAGTGTAATACACTTGTATCAATTTATCGTTAATTTCCATGCTTTTTATCATAATGGTTCGAAAATTGGGATGAACAATTCAAATTGTACCAAAAATATGATATTTAGCCTCGCGATGACAATGGCTGTTATAACTTACCTTACTGTACAACTTGTCAAAGCATAGAATACAGTACGGGTTGCCATTCTTGGCGATGTAGCGTTGGCCAGCTAGAGGCGCGTCACAGTACCAACAACAGAAATGCTGCACGTGCCATGTCTGTTTTTCAGCTTGTGTGTACTCCCGTGCAAAGATTATCTGTAAAAATACCATTTCGATGTATCAGTTGTTCAGTATATATAGTGTCGCAATATTTTCTTTGGCTGAAATTATACAAAATACGAAACAGCTGAGAGGGAGCAAGAGGAGGGGTCGCATTCATATTCAAAATGTATATGGATTTGAGAGGATTCGAATGATCATTTCAGAACGTAATTACGTGTTTTATTGACTTTTACTGCAAATATAGATAACATATATGTTGAGTGTAAGTAATATATATATTAAGTGTAAGTGATATATATATATTGAGTGTAAGTAATATATATATTAAGTGTAAGTGATATATATATTGAGTGTAAGTAATATATATATTAAGTGTAAGTGATATATATATTGAGTGAAAGTAATATATATATTAAGTGTAAGTGATATATATATTGAGTGTAAGTAATACATATATTGAGTGTAAGTGAAATATATATTGAGTATAAGTAATACACATATTGAGTATAGGTAATATATTTATTGAGTATAAGAAATATATTTATTGAGTATAAGTAATATATATATTGAGTATAAGTAATATATATATATATTGAGTGTAAGTAATATATTTATTGAGTATAAGTAATATATATATATATTGAGTGTAAGTAATATATTTATTGAATATAGGTAATATATATATTGAGTATAAGTAATATATATATTGAGTATAAGAAAAAAGATGGTAAATGGGCTTTTTGTGCTAAATAAAAAATAGGATAGTAATAATGATATTTATCATCATAAAAAATTCCATTAACTCTACACTTTCGGTTAATCTTTGCAAACGAAAGTAAGGACGAACGGACAATTTGATTACATAGCAGCAGCAAATTTCTTATGCGAAGTCTTAAGTAGTCATCCATTCGAAAATTCTCACACATAAAAGAAAATACATTTTTTTATATCTATTGGCCATGTGTTAAACACAAATTGCTCTGTAATAACAAGGAGAATATGCTTATTTTTCTCTGTTCGTAATTACCTTCAATTAAGGAGAGAAAGCCAGCATAATACGATAAAGCCTGTTCATATGTTTGTGTGACGTAACAGCGAACCATCACAAGGCTGGCTGTTTTTGTGTCCTGTTTCATTTTATAAACACTGATGGAAACCCACGGAGCTTTATTGGTAAAAGGGAGACTGCAAATTACACCATATGTAACAGATGTTTCGATAACGAATGTGGCATGTTAAGCATGCGCCTTATTGCTATGTGATGTTATGACGTCATAGGAAATTTACATAACGGATACAGACATAACAGAGACTTGATATTATCACGTTTTTTTATCTGGGTGATCCATATTTTATCACTTTGTTTTTGATAGGAAAAAAAAAAACATCACGCAAATAGGTGCACGTGACAGCGGAATTCGTAGTAACTAAATATTTACGGGCAATATAATTATGTAACATTTAATTCATTAGTATTGGACTACATCAACCCCTTTAGCTGAGGATTTATTTCATATTATGAATCTGTTTGAAAATTGACCTTGCGACACGAGTTTATAATTTACGACCGCTGATATAGGAAAAGTGAAAAAAAAACTGATTGAAAACGTCTGGTCTCGTTGTTTTGAAGCTGTATGGGAAAATCAAAAATCCAAAGGTCAGGGTTTTAAAATCTTACTTCGTCACAGGAAGAACAGCGTGGGTATATGGAATCGGCATAGTGTCGTTCACAGTAGATATCGTCATTTTTATGGAAGTATATCATGTCGACTAGCAGCTCCGAGCACGTTGCGCATGTGAAACATCCCGGATGCCAGCACGTGCCAATGCCCATGCGATCCGCCACTACAGCAATTCCTCCACTCTCCACGGCCTTTAAACATCGATGACATTTCTGCAAGTACATGAGAAGCTGATAAATTTCGAACGCCCATGTGATATTTAGCTCACACGAAAATTTCTTACGTATTTTTGTAGCTCCAACGGGCATATCATGTTTTAGATAGTGTTTAAATGGAGTTCATGACAGTTTGAACGCCAATATGTTACGCCAGTATATCGATAACATACTTATCAAGGGAATCTTGCTTTTAGAAAAACACATGTTATACATGATAGTAATAGTTTTGCGTTTGTAGCGGTGTAAATGTTAAAACGACTCAAGTGTATGTTTCTATTAAAAGGCAGCACAATATCAATTCAGAATTAGACACTGCACAATATAACAAAACAATTAAGTAAACTGCATCATACAGCTGTTTCGTCGTTCTATGGACATCAGTGATGGTACATCATACAGCTGTTTCGTCGTTCTATGGACATCAGTGATGGTACATCATACAGCTGTTTCGTCGTTCTATGGACATCAGTGATGGTACATCATACAGCTGTTTCGTCGTTCTATGGACATCAGTGATGGTACATCATACAGCTGTTTCCTCGTTCTATGGACATCAGTGATGGTACATCATACAGCTGTTTCCTCGTTCTATGGACATCAGTGATGGTACATCATACAGCTGTTTCCTCGTTCTATGGACATCAGTGATGGTACATCATACAGCTGTTTCCTCGTTCTATGGACATCAGTGATGGTACATCATACAGCTGTTTCGTCGTTCTATGGACATCAGTGATGGTACATCATACAGCTGTTTCCTCGTTCTATGGACATCAGTGATGGTACATCATACAGCTGTTTCGTCCTTCCAGGACGTCAGTGATGGTACATCATACAGCTGTTTCCTCGTTCTATGGACATCAGTGATGGTACATCATACAGCTGTTTCGTCCTTCCAGGACGTCAGTGATGGTACATCATACAGCTGTTTCCTCGTTCTATGGACATCAGTGATGGTACATCATACAGCTGTTTCGTCGTTCTATGGACATCAGTGATGGTACATCATACAGCTGTTTCCTCGTTCTATGGACATCAGTGATGGCACATCATACAGCTGTTTCCTCGTTCTATGGACATCAGTGATGGTACATCATACAGCTGTTTCCTCGTTCTATGGACATCAGTGATGGTACATCATACAGCTGTTTCCTCGTTCTATGGACATCAGTGATGGTACATCATACAGCTGTTTCGTCGTTCTATGGACATCAGTGATGGTACATCATACAGCTGTTTCCTCGTTCTATGGACATCAGTGATGGTACATCATACAGCTGTTTCCTCGTTCTATGGACATCAGTGATGGTACATCATACAGCTGTTTCCTCGTTCTATGGACATCAGTGATGGTACATCATACAGCTGTTTCGTCGTTCTATGGACATCAGTGATGGTACATCATACAGCTGTTTCCTCGTTCTATGGACATCAGTGATGGTACATCATACAGCTGTTTCGTCCTTCCAGGACGTCAGTGATGGTACATCATACAGCTGTTTCCTCGTTCTATGGACATCAGTGATGGTACATCATACAGCTGTTTCGTCCTTCCAGGACGTCAGTGATGGTACATCATACAGCTGTTTCCTCGTTCTATGGACATCAGTGATGGTACATCATACAGCTGTTTCCTCGTTCTATGGACATCAGTGATGCTACATCATACAGCTGTTTCCTCGTTCTATGGACATCAGTGATGGTACATCATACAGCTGTTTCCTCGTTCTATGGACATCAGTGATGGTACATCATACAGCTGTTTCCTCGTTCTATGGACATCAGTGATGCTACATCATACAGATGTTTCCTCGTTCTATGGACATTAGTGATGGTACATCATACAGCTGTTTCGTCGTTCTATGGACATCAGTGATGCTACATCATACAGCTGTTTCCTCGTTCTATGGACATCAGTGATGGTACATCATACAGCTGTTTCGTCGTTCTATGGACATCAGTGATGGTACATCATACAGCTGTTTCCTCGTTCTATGGACATCAGTGATGGTACATCATACAGCTGTTTCCTCTTTCTATGGACATCAGTGATGCTACATCATACAGCTGTTTCCTCGTTCTATGGACATCAGTGATGCTACATCATACAGCTGTTTCCTCGTTCTATGGACATCAGTGATGCTACATCATACAGCTGTTTCCTCGTTCTATGGACATCAGTGATGGTACCTCATACAGCTGTTTCCTCGTTCTATGGACATCAGTGATGGTACATCATACAGCTGTTTCGTCGTTCTATGGACATCAGTGATGGTACATCATACAGCTGTTTCCTCGTTCTATGGACATCAGTGATGGCACATCATACAGCTGTTTCCTCGTTCTATGGACATCAGTGATGGTACATCATACAGCTGTTTCCTCGTTCTATGGACATCAGTGATGGTACATCATACAGCTGTTTCCTCGTTCTATGGACATCAGTGATGGTACATCATACAGCTGTTTCGTCGTTCTATGGACATCAGTGATGGTACATCATACAGCTGTTTCCTCGTTCTATGGACATCAGTGATGGTACATCATACAGCTGTTTCCTCGTTCTATGGACATCAGTGATGGTACATCATACAGCTGTTTCCTCGTTCTATGGACATCAGTGATGGTACCTCATACAGCTGTTTCCTCGTTCTATGGACATCAGTGATGGTACATCATACAGCTGTTTCCTCGTTCTATGGACATCAGTGATGGTACCTCATACAGCTGTTTCCTCGTTCTATGGACATCAGTGATGGTACATCATACAGCTGTTTCGTCGTTCTATGGACATCAGTGATGGTACATCATACAGCTGTTTCGTCGTTCTATGGACATCAGTGATGGTACATCATACAGCTGTTTCCTCGTTCTATGGACATCAGTGATGGTACATCATACAGCTGTTTCCTCGTTCTATGGACATCAGTGATGCTACATCATACAGCTGTTTCCTCGTTCTATGGACATCAGTGATGGTACATCATACAGCTGTTTCCTCGTTCTATGGACATCAGTGATGCTACATCATACAGCTGTTTCCTCGTTCTATGGACATCAGTGATGGTACATCATACAGCTGTTTCGTCCTTCCAGGACGTCAGTGATGGTACATCATACAGCTGTTTCCTCGTTCTATGGACATCAGTGATGGTACATCATACAGCTGTTTCCTCGTTCTATGGACATCAGTGATGGTACATCATACAGCTGTTTCGTCGTTCTATGGACATCAGTTACTACATCATACAGCTGTTTCCTCGTTCTATGGACATCAGTGATGCTACATCATACAGCTGTTTCGTCGTTCTATGGACATCAGTGATGCTACATCATACAGCTGTTTCCTCGTTCTATGGACATCAGTGATGCTACATCATACAGCTGTTTCGTCCTTCCAGGACGTCGGTGATGGTACATCATACAGCTGTTTCGTCCTTCCAGGACGTCAGTGATGGTACATCATACAGCTGTTTCGTCGTTCTATGGACATCAGTGATGCTACATCATACAGCTGTTTCCTCGTTCTATGGACATCAGTGATGCTACATCATACAGCTGTTTCCTCGTTCTATGGACATCAGTGATGCTACATCATATAGCTGTTTCCTCGTTCTATGGACATCAGTGATGCTACATCATACAGCTGTTTCGTCCTTCCAGGACATCAGTGATGGTACATCATACCGCTGTTTCCTCGTTCTATGGACATCAGTGATGGTACATCATACAGCTGTTTCGTCCTTCCAGGACTTCAGTGATGGTACATCATACAGCTGTTTCGTCCTTCCAGGACGTCAGTGATGGTACATCATACAGCTGTTTCCTCGTTCTATAGACATCAGTGATGCTACATCATACAGCTGTTTCCTCGTTCTATGGACATCAGTGATGCTACATCATACAGCTGTTTCGTCCTTCCAGGACTTCAGTGATGGTACATCATACAGCTGTTTCGTCCTTCCAGGACGTCAGTGATGGTACATCATACAGCTGTTTCGTCCTTCCAGGACGTCAGTGATGGTACATCATACAGCTGTTTCGTCCTTCCAGGACGTCAGTGATGGTACATCATACAGCTGTTTCGTCCTTCCAGGACGTCAGTGATGGTACATCATACAGCTGTTTCGTCCTTCCAGGACTTCAGTGATGGTACATCATACAGCTGTTTCGTCCTTCCAGGACTTCAGTGATGGTACATCATACAGCTGTTTCGTCCTTCTATGGACATCAGTGATGGTACATCATACAGCTGTTTCGTCCTTCCAAGACGTCAGTGATGGTACATCATACAGCTGTTTCGTCGTTCTATGGACATCAGTGATGGTACATCATACAGCTGTTTCCTCGTTCTATGGACATCAGTGATGGTACATCATACAGCTGTTTCGTCCTTCTATGGACATCAGTGATGGTACATCATACAGCTGTTTCCTCGTTCTATGGACATCAGTGATGGTACATCATACAGCTGTTTCGTCCTTCCAGGACTTCAGTGATGGTACATCATACAGCTGTTTCGTCGTTCTATGGACATCAGTGATTGCGAGAACCTAAATCCAGAAGCCTAAGAGATGATCGCGGAAAATAAGAATTGGTCGAACGAAATTTCAGAAACTAAATGTCCTCTAACCCCAAAGTTTAATAATTTTCAGAATTTCAATATCTGTATTGTATATTTTGAATATCGTGTCAGTATTTGAATTTAAAGACAAGGTAGTACTTAGCACAGGATTCCAAAGATTCTGATACAACTGAACATCAATACCTCCGAACAGCACTCAAACGACTTACAAGTTCAGGTAATGTTGAACTATACTTCTTAGAACCATAGAGTGCTTTGTTTGGGGCTGTTACACAAATACAAATAAACACATCCTATCTCTTTCGTTCCGTAAGGGAAAGATATTACCTCTATGGGTCACAATAGAATGTCATTCCACAGCAAAGAAGAAATGAAGGACAGGTGACTTTATTATTATTATTATTATTTTACACAGAAACTTGGACTTGTCTTTTTCCTTATTAGTTTGCCTTACTTCTTAATGTTGAAGTAATCAAACGACGAGTTTTCATGGTGAAAGGGTATAACATTAGGTACCAGGATAGAGATAACTGGCCTGTCACTTTTATTTAGTCCACGGACCTGGTCAGAGTATTTAAACAGTCAGTAATTTGCATACATTTATCCATATGGGATATCGCATCTACCTGCTGTAAGCTACACAGCAGTTAATATGAAGGTGCCTTAGGTTTTGGTTTTTGCAAAGACGATACAACTGATCATATAAATGACACACATTTTTCTAAATAACTTGAGAAAACTTAGAAGTCACATTGAATTTTATAAGGTAATATGTTTCGAGTTACTGTTTCTAATTGCGTTTTGTCCTTCGTTGTGCGTCTGTTAACAATTCACCTTTCCGAATTCTCAGAAACCCATGAAGCAATTTTTAACGTTCTGCAGGAGTTTTCGTTCGTTGGAGATGTACTGGCAACAAATTAAAAATCTTCCTCTCAAGACCAAGATGTACTGAAAGACTCGAGTATTAACGCGAAAATAACATATCTAATGCATGTGTGTCCAACCGGCTTTTGTAGAATTAAATGAATCGGCAGACATAGATTAATTTGTCTTTCTAATGAGGCAATTTATAAAGTAAAAAAAAACCCAGCTCATCATGAATGAAGACCTCATGCAGGTCAGTCAAGGGATTTAGAGTATAGGTAAAAGTTCGGGAATCCGAGATATTTCTTTAAATGTAAGAAATAACCGTTTAAATCCATAATTTTATAGGAGAAGCGACAACAGCCTTGCAATAAGATTTAAAAAAATAATATTCAAAGTGAGGGTTTTAAATTCGGGGCACTTAGTGCAGTTTGAGGGAAACTGCATGCTGTTATCAAACCTCATCTGACTGAGTAAAGCGGCCCAGACAGGTGATAAGCATCTACAGATAGTTATTTATAGGTTTTCCACTCACAAGGAATTCAGCATTATGGTAAGGTCGATGGGCAAGTCCTATGAGCCATTCAAGCACACACACATTTGTGACGTCATACGCAAGGCGTGGTCAATTAAGCGTGCATAGGAGCTTAAGTAAAGGTACGTGTGTGTCAAGATTTAATCTAAACTGGTTTTGAAAGAAAACAAAGATGGGCAAGTGTTGCGATGTTTAAAACAGACGTTTGTATCGTCCCGATGTCTGGAATACGTAGCATAAAACAACGAAACAAAATAAATCTTTAAAATCAAATCAAAAAAGGAAAAAAAAAAAAAAAGAAAAAAATGGCTATACATGTAGATAAATATATAGGCTATACTTGTAGGCAAATATATAAACTGTATACTGTAAACTAATAGGGGGGCTAGATGCACGTGGAGAGGGTATAAATGGAAAAAAGGTCTGTATCCACTTGGAGAGGGTACATATAGAAAAAGTCTGTATCCACTTGGAGATGGTATATATAGAAAAGTCTCCATCCACTTGGAGAGGGTATATATAGAAAGTTTGTATCCACTTGGAGAGGGTATATATAGAAAAGAAGTATGTATCCACTTGGAGAGGGTATATATAGAAAAGTATGTATCCACTTGGAGAGGGTATATATAGAAAAGATACCTGTATCCACTTGGAGAGTGTATATATAGAAAAGTCTGTATCCACTTGGAGAGGGTATATATAGAAAAGTCTGTATCCACTTGGAGAGGGTATATATAGAAAAGTCTGTATCCACTTGGAGAGGGTATATATAGAAAAAGTCTGTATCCACTTGGAGAGGGTATATATAGAAAAGTCTGTATCCACTTGGAGAGGGTATATATAGAAAAGTCTCTATTCACTTGGAGAGGGTATATATAGAAAAGTCTCTATCCATTTGGAGAGGGTATATATAGAAAAAGTCTGTATCCACTTGGAGAGGGTATATAGAAAAGAAGTATGTATCCACTTGGAGAGGGTATATATAGAAAAGTCTGTATCCACTGGGAGAGGGTATATATAGAAAAATTCTGTATCTACTTGGAGAGTGTATATATAGAAAAGTCTGTATCCACTTGGAGAGGGTATATATAGAAAAGTCTGTATCCACTTGGAGAGGGTATATATAGAAAAGTCTGTATCCACTTGGAGAGGGTATATATAGAAAAAGTCTGTATCCACTTGGAGAGGGTATATATAGAAAAGTCTGTATCCACTTGGAGAGGGTATATATAGAAAAGTCTCTATTCACTTGGAGAGGGTATATATAGAAAAGTCTCTATCCATTTGGAGAGGGTATATATAGAAAAAGTCTGTATCCATTTGGAGAGGGTATATATAGAAAAGAAGTATGTATCCACTTGGAGAGGGTATATATAGAAAAGTCTGTATCCACTGGGAGAGGGTATATATAGAAAAATTCTGTATCTACTTGGAGAGGGTATATATAAAAAAGTCTCTATCCACTTGGAGAGGGTATACATAGAAAAGTCTCTATCCACTTGGAGAGGGTATATATAGAAAAAGTCTCTATCCACTTGGAGAGGGTATATATAGAAAAGTCTGTATCCACTTGGAGAGGGTATATATAGAAAAGTCTCTATTCACTTGGAGAGGGTATATATAGAAAAGTCTGTATCCACTTGGAGAGGGTATATATAGAAAAGTCTGTATCCACTTGGAGAGGGTATATATAGAAAAAGTCTGTATCCACTTGGAGAGGGTATATATAGAAAAGAAGTATGTATCCACTTGGAGAGGGTATATATAGAAAAGTCTGTATCCACTTGGAGATGGTATATATAGAAAAGTCTGTATCCACTTGGAGAGGGTATATATAGAAAAAGTCTGTATCCACTTGGAGAGGGTATATATAGAAAAGAAGTATGTATCCACTTGGAGAGGGTATATATAGAAAAGTTTGTATCCATTTGGAGATGGTATATATAGTAAAAAAGTCTTCTGACTAACTAGCTTTTTACTTTCACTGGATGAAAACTACTTGTTCTGACAAAACTCTTGTACAAATATTAACAGAGAAAATTGATAAATAGAGCAACTATGCAAATGGTCTTTCGCCGATACGTATCTATCAAAAATATGTTCGATATGTATACTGTATATTTCGCATTAACCTACCCAGCTGTACAGTTAGATTGCTACTCACTTGTTCTCCGGATTTTGGTAAGTCACGTATCTGACCGATGCCCGCTGCTTTTAATCGCCTTTTATTCGTAAACTTTTGGAATTTCTGCATTTCTGTTTCCGATAGACTGTTACAAAATTTCTGGTGGAGGTCATGAAGCGGAAGTTGTTTCTGGAGTTGTCTTCTCCTGAGCTGAGCAGCAAACATTTGTTTGTCCTTTGGAAGCATGGCGATGTATTTCTGTGACCTCTACAAAAACATTATTCATTATAATTCATTTTAATGTGGATATCATCATTTATTCATATATAATTTTAAACATAACAAATTCATGACGCGTATAAACAATTCCATACGTTTGTACATAAACATCCTAGTTAATCTTTTTCACTTTTGGAATATTTAAGGTAAACTGAAACTTGTCAAAACTTTTCTGATTTCATTTACTGGGATCTACTAAAGAAACAATACAATATCAAGCGGTACAACAATGTTTTCTTCCATCCAAGTCACAGACCACTCGAAGACTTTTACAGTAAATAAAACAATATTCACAGTAAATAAATTAGAAATATATCTTTAATCAGTTTGTTTATTTCTCTCATACCAAATTTTCTGATATGATCCTTGCAAGCACGATATCATTGTCTGGACCACATATTTGGGTCAAGGCCGCCGAATCGTCAATGTTAAGTCGCTCGAGCCGTTGTAACACATCTGATTGGTCGCCGTGCCGCGGCAGCGAATCAAACAGCAGATTGATTGGCTGAGAATCCTTCTCCTCAGGAGGTTGGAGGTCATGATCCTCTCGAGAACATCGACAATGCTTACATATTTTTCTGTAAAGATAAATTTCATATATTAACGTAAGCAAAGGAACAAATTTGGAGTATTCGATATATTTGTACCATTTTATATTCCAAAACACGACCCACCGTATAACATCCAGTAAGAATGATATTATCGATATATCTACATTTTTATTGACTATCCGCATTTTAGAATCAGAGAGCAAAGCTTCATTAACCTTTCCAAACCTTAATATTTGTTATTTTAAACCATTTCACTTTTTTTCTGAGATAGAAATTCTATTTACCTGACTTGCAAGCTCTTCCGTTCACATCACACTGCATATATCCACTTGTGGTTTGAGATGTTTTGAAAGAACTAAAATGTGTCAGTTCAGCCGTATATGAGTTTGACAAATCATGACCGGTATGCGAAGATAATATGTTGTCAACCGACATGTTATCTAACATTACTACAGATAATAAATATCAAACCTGATATTAGGCTAGTAGGACACATTTTTCTTTTCACGGAACATCGATACTACTTACCCTTTGTAGTCATCTGTTCCATCGGTTTTTGTTTGTTTGTTTGTTTGTTTGTTTGTTTGTTTGTTTGTTTGTTTGTTTGTTTGTTTTTGTTTTGTTTTTAATTTTTTAATCCACATTGCATTCTTTGATTCAAAGGGATATCCGAGCCTAAACAGACGTTTCAAACCACACCAAATTCAAGTCATCTTTGATATTTCAAGTTATCCATAGGTGAGAGTTCCACACTCGACTAGATTTAATTACATTTAAATGTTTCAAAATCGTAAAAAATCAGTGAAGAAAAAAATTCAAGAAATGTTTTTTTGGTTTAGGCTAAACATCAGCTGAAGACTGCGAGACTGCAGCTTTAATCAGCATGCTTCTTTAATTTCTAAGTCTAAATGACAAAGCCACTTTGATTCAAAAACTTGACTCTTTTAAATTCTTTTAGAACGAAAAAGCACAACAGATTACTTTCCAAATACACTATCAGATTCGAATTCGATAGTGCACTACTGGTACAACAAGTATTTTGTTTCAAAAACAACACAAAACATGGCTGTTGCTGGCTGTTACACTGATGAACCATCCACATCGATAATAAAATATCGTTTTAGCTTTGTTATCAAATTATTGGCTCATCAAAATGTGAATTTAAGTATCATATATCGACATCAAGGGCCATAAATCGTACAATTGACTGTTTACATGTCTATCCATGTCATTTTTTTATATGAACAAAAAGGTCTTATTGAAACATTAATAAGACATTCTTAAAATTGATAGCATGCCGGTGATGAAATAAGTTGTTACTGAAATAATAGCTTCTCAATTTATTTGATTTATGTTAATTCAAATGGACTAAATGGAAATGGACCTTAAATATCCTAACAAAACACTGACAATTACAAACGTTTTAGAGACTAAAGAAGAATGGACCCTAAATGTCATAATAAAACATTGAAAGGAATGTTTTAGTGACTGAGGAAGAATGTACCAAAAATATTCTAATAAAACACTGACAATAACAAATGTTTTAGAGACTGAAGAAGATTGTATACCCTAGATATCCTAATAAAACACTGACATGAATGTTTTAGTGACTGAGGAAGAATGTACCAAAACTATTCTAATAAAACACTGACAATAACAAATGTTTTAGCGACTGAAGAAGATTGTATACCCTAGATATCCTAATAAAACACTGACAGGAATGTTTTAGAGACCGAGGAAGAATGTACCAAAAATATTCTAATAAAACACTGACAATAACAAATGTTTTAGAGACTGAAGAAGATTGTATACCCTAGATATCCTAATAAAACACTGACAGGAATGTTTTAGAGACCGAGGAAGAATGTACCAAAAATATTCTAATAAAACACTGACAATAACAAATGTTTTAGAGACTGAAGAAGATTGTATACCCTAGATATCCTAATAAAACACTGACATGAATGTTTTAGTGACTGAGGAAGAATGTACCAAAAATATTCTAATAAAACACTGACAATAACAAATGTTTTAGAGACTGAAGAAGATTGTATACCCTAGATATCCTAATAAAACACTGACAGGAATGTTTTAGAGACCGAGGAAGAATGTACCAAAAATATTCTAATAAAACACTGACAATAACAAATGTTTTAGAGACTGAAGAAGATTGTATACCCTAGATATCCTAATAAAACACTGACAGGAATGTTTTAGAGACCGAGGAAGAATGTACCAAAAATATTCTAATAAAACACTGACAATAACAAATGTTTTAGAGACTGAAGAAGATTGTATACCCTAGATATCCTAATAAAACACTGACAGGAATGTTTTAGTGACTGAGGAAGAATGTACCAAAAATATTCTAATAAAACACTGACAATAACAAATGTTTTAGAGACTGAAGAAGATTGTATACCCTAGATATCCTAATAAAACACTGACAGGAATGTTTTAGTGACTGAGGAAGAATGTACCAAAAATATTCTAATAAAACACTGACAATAACAAATGTTTTAGAGACTGAAGAAGATTGTATACCCTAGATATCCTAATAAAACACTGACAGGAATGTTTTAGAGACCGAGGAAGAATGTACCAAAAATATTCTAATAAAACACTGACAATAACAAATGTTTTAGAGACTGAAGAAGATTGTATACCCTAGATATCCTAATAAAACACTGACAGGAATGTTTTAGTGACTGAAAAGAAATGGACCATAAATATCCTAACAAAATACTGACAGGAATGTTTTAGTGACTGAGGAAAAATGTACCCTAGATATCCTAATAAAAGATATTAAACATCACAAATCTTTAGGCATATGGTGTGTCATTTTATGATGAATAGCCTGACTCATGGTGAGAAGATAAGAGAATGCATTTTCAGTGATAATAATGAAAACTTTTAAATAATCTGGGTTTTTAACACATACCATCTGCACAATATCATGTTCAGCCATATGAACTTTCGTGTGTTTTAACACAAAATGTAAGCAGTCTAACCGTTATGATTTTTTTATGGTATAACCAAACTAAGTATAGATGCCATCATTAGATATGCAGAGTACTTATATAACGCATTTTTCATGCATGTTAAAAACTAGCATGAAATATAATAAAAGGCATATAGGACCTGTGTTATTTCTATTATCTATATATAAACCACCGTAAAATTTTACAGAGAAGAAAAATAATTTGTAGAAAAATGTTTTTACATTTAATTTTAATTCCCTTCAGAGTTTTAATATGAATAAATTCACAAAGTTTGATATTTCTGCTGGTGCTTTGAGTTGGTTTAACGGTTAATCTTTAGTCGGATTTTAAGTCAATACTAACATAACGAACATTCATCCATCGACATCAATGTGAGATGAAGATTGTGTTCGCTGGAGCAGAAATGGTCGGCAATATCAAAATTATATATGTATATATATATATGTTTGTTTTGTATTTTGTTTATTTATCTATTATTATCATTAAATTATTATTTATTTTAGGTGGCTAGCAACGTACATATAATATCAGTATTTTTTTGTAGAGATGACACGTTTCTTTGTGTTCAATACCGATACAGGTCCAAGGTACAATTTTCTACAGCAACAATTGAGTCAATTTTTCACGTGAAGCTAAGTTAACAACCCAATCCAATGAGCATACACTTATATGTTTCCAATATTTTGTATTGCAAATACACGTACGTACATATATCTATATATATGTATGAATGTCAAAGATTGTAGCAACAGACGCAAATTCATCCTTTATAATATTGGTCAGCTCAAATTTATTCAGAAATTGTTAAGAACTGCTTTCAATAGTCCCAAGTAAAACCAACAAACACATGTACATGGGCGCGGAGTTTGTTTCAGAGCGATAAGCTAAAGTTCTGCCAGAACTACGTATATTATCTGTAACGAACAATTATCTTTATTCTTTATGAGGCTATTTATAAAATGTTTCATATACTCTCAGAGCTAAAACAAACATATTTCTTTCAAAGATAAGAATGGAGAATTTCAAACCCAAAATTTCACAGCTATATAGATGAGAGTATTTCCACGTATAACAGCTTCCGTCTCCCCTGTACAAACACTGTCATTGTCTACAATAACGTCACTCTTCTAGTTATCACGTGATTTCCAGCTGACTCACGTAATCAACACCAAAAATACACAAAACCAAATCGAAAATAAATTGAAATAAAATTGTTTATCTCTTCACTAACGATGCATGTTAAGCCATCTTAAATACTGCTAATACAGTGAGGTTTTGCTTAAAAGTACACGCGTCAAGGCTGACAATACAACTCTGTATATTACACCAGAAAATTTGTTGCAGTTCTGATGCATTCAATTTATGCTTAAATATAGGAGAAATACGCTTCATTCTGTACCATATCCAACTTTTTTCTTAGTTTTATATATTTAGTTTTTAAAAACATTCTCACGTAATCTTAAGATTTCGAAAAATTATCGGACATTTGAATTAAGAGAGTAATTAGAAATAACACCGCGTGTTTCATTTGGGATATCGAAAATGTTGTGAAGGTGTTACCCAAAACTAGAAATTTTGGATTAAAGAATTATCACATAACGAAAACCGTTTGAATTGATACATGCACTGTTTCCCACACCCTGCACCCTAAAAAGACGTTACCTCCAGTAATGGGTGTCCAAACCTGGACACCTGTCAGCACATTTTAAACATCGAAGCTTCCGCTGAGATTCTTGTGGGGTATGTGGTTCCAAATCAGTCTACAACAAAACAAATCATCATATCATCATCAATTATAGAACAAACAAAAACTTTAAAAACTGCCTTTCTGTACAAGGAATATCTTGTTTCATATTAAAAAAGATCATTTATCACAGTATATTTTGGCAGTGAAATATGTAGAGAATATTTCGTAGTTTCCCGTTAAACGTCGTATATATTCTGTCATACGAGTGAAAATACATTATAGTTAACGTGAAAGCATTAAAGTTTATTTTATTACATTTCAAAGGAAAAACAAATGAAAAAGCCGATCTAAACATAAGATAAAGCGGTATTAAAAATGTCCGGGAAATATTCGCGCGCTCCTTGACGTTTGAAAGTTTGACGTTATACTTGACAACAATACGACGCCATTTTGAAAATGCTGCTTTATGTTGAATTTTACAACTTTATGTAGTTATCTGGTAAAAATTGCTTACAAAACTGTTTTATGGACCAAATTAGAGAAAAGCAGTAATGCAGAATGGAATTAATTGATGGAAATTGGCGTCCGAAAAACTAAATTGGCCGATTTCAATGCAGTGACTAGAAAGCATCGTCTTGATTGGTCTATACTAGGAAAGTTATATCACTGAAAAAGTTATATTATTACTAACAATGATAAGATTTGTAAATAAGATGTCTTATCTCATCACTGCAGTGATGATATAAGCTTTTATCAAATCGATAAATTCTTATATTTCACAAGAAATTGTGTTACAGTGTTTACCGTTCAAAACTGATTCTTAGAACGGTAAACATGTATAACATACCGACATTTTGAATAAGTTTTTATCTTGAACTTACATGTAGTTAGCCACTTCCGGAAAATTCATTACATAAAGGAATTTCCATTGGCCTTGATACGTAATAACTAAGTATTTATGATATATGAAATTGGAGATGGCCTTGTTCTGCCATTCTGACTAATGCCGACAGTTAAAATTTAGGAAACGATGCTGTTTTACAAAATAGCATATGTTATTTGTTTGTAGCAGTTATATTGTCACCATACAGAATAAACACCGCCATTTTGTTGTTTTAAAAATCAAAAGACATTAGAAAATGGATTGCTGACTAAAGCATATCAACCCCTTTATTCTGCTCATAATGGCCTGTGTGTTTATATTATCCTGGCCACTGACAGCGGGAATTCACACAAAAACACCCAGTATTATGTCATCTGTACGCTTAGAATTCGTGAGAAAGTAAACAAAACCGAATCGAAAGCCAGACATTGGACATCGGATGATGAATACAACAGATGGTGAGAACTCTTCAGAGAATATAGGCTGAGGGCCAAATTGTTTCACCTGCTGCCCGGCAGCGCACCCGCTCAGGGTTACTCATCCGCGGGGGCGGCACTGAGCCAAGTGCAACTTACTCACCTGGTCAGTGAAACCCAATTCGCCTCCCCTCCCCCTCCCACCTTAATTAGTTCATAGTTCATGCCACTCAAGGCTGTGTAGTTGGTGTGGGTCATAGTCGGAGATAATATTGGTTTCTCCATCATCGAACCAGACCGGTAACAAAACAACCCTGCGCGTTCTCTATACATTTATTCCAATATTAGAAAAACGTGTGTCGGTCGTGTTTGGTGAGTCAATATCCCCCCAAACCCCTACCCCCACCCCCTGTTATTGTACTTCTGTTACTTATTCAGAATGTACACATTTGTATATTTGGAGTAAAAGGTTTCAGGACAGTGTTGTTTTGATCAATCATATTTTGGTAAAAGCAAAGCAGGGAAGGAAACAAAATGAGTTTTGAATCAGATACTCACGTACATGTGTATATCTAATCATTTGAAAAATGGTACAACTGAATTTCGAATTAATATGCAGTTTTCATTTGTCACGGATTTCAATGTAATGTATCATTCGCACATATCATAAAAATGTTGTTTTAAATGTAATAGTTCTAAAAACATTGCGGATATATATTAATACTGTCAAGCACACAAATGCAGGCAGAATTTTTTACATTTCTATAATTTTTCATACCCGTATGAGAGTGACACAATTGTATAACGACACATCAGTTGTCCGGGTAATAAAGTAATAAGTTTTGTACCAGAATATTGAGAATTTGTATTTGATTACTTGCCGTTTTATCACAAGTAGAAAAAAGTCAATATAATTTACATATCTTAGGCCCTACCTGGGATGTTTTTCTTAATCGAGAACACAAACACTTCAATAACTTAAAAGAATATAAACTCTTTCGAGATATCGAGAACACATTGACTTAAGGAAGTCACATTGCAATCTGAATACCGATGATACAACATGAGACAGTATTCCTGAAGCGATTTCCCTCCGAAATGTGAAGTGGTTTCGAAGAGGAGGGTATTTTTGTTGTGATTCACGGTAAAACCACATTTTTATTCGGTCAGAGAAAACGTGTGTCATAGTTAATGGTGTTATTTCTGAGTAACCATGCAAACGTCAATGGTTTCAGGATCAAAGACTATAACACCGGGAGTGTAGGTACAGCCATTGCCGTACCCAATGAATGTCCAGAGTCCATCAAGTCTCTTCATCACGGCTAATTACAGTCAAGATGGCGTGGCGTTGTAATTAATGGGCTGTGACGTCTTGTTAACGAATGTCACAACTTTCTCGTTTTTTTATGTCTTACGTGTGTGAATAGGTCAGGTGTTAGTAGTTAATTAAGAGACGTTTCAACAGTGTTCTATAGATTTACATTGTATCTAAAAATGCTGAACTAAATCTACGAACTGCTCCACAGCGATTGGATAAAGTGTTTTACAAAAGAATACAACCACAAAACAGCACAGGGCGGTCTGTGATCACAAACCGTTGGTGTTAGAGACCACACACGTTAGATTTTCAACCGTGGCTGCGGATCCTGATGTTCTACCTGTTGGTGCTCTAGCTGTTGGTGTTCTACCTGCTGATGGTCTATCTGTTGGTGTTCTACCTGCTGATGGTCTATCTGTTGGTGTTCTACCTGCTGATGGTCTATCTGTTGGTGTTCTACCTGCTGATGGTCTATCTGTTGGTGTTCTACCTGTTGGTGCTCTAGCTGTTGGTGTTCTACCTGCTGATGGTCTATCTGTTGGTGTTCTACCTGCTGATGGTCTATCTGTTGGTGTTCTACCTGCTGATGGTCTATCTGTTGGTGTTCTACCTGCTGATGGTCTATCTGTTGGTGTTCTACCTGCTGATGGTCTATCTGTTGGTGTTCTACCTGCTGATGGTCTATCTGTTGATGTTCTACCTGCTGATGGTCTATCTGTTGGTGTTCTACCTGTTAATGGTCTACCTGTTGGTGTTGTACCTGTTGGTGTTCTATCTGTTGATGTTCTACCTGTTGGTGCTGTACCTGTTGGTGCTCTACCTGCTGATGGTCTATCTGTTGGTGTTCTACCTGCTGATGGTCTATCTGTTGATTTGATACCGGTATAGCTACATCAACCCATGCCTTGCTTTCCCCCGTTATTTTGTAATGAGCCTTGTTTTAACAATTCAGTTGACAACATACACTATCTGACACTAACGCGGTATAGGAATCGGTGTGGGTGTGGGAATTTGGGTTCAATGCTGTCTGAATCTTTGTTACAAAAACGTCAAACTTATCTACAAAGTTGGCAGCGCCAATGTCAAGATTGAAATCTGATGATGTTATTTGTCGACTCCCGTACAGCCCTTATATCCCAATAGCTAATCCTTCCGCGTTAATCGTGCCGTTATCTTGATAGCTTGTCGAAACTAGAAACTGGCTACTGTTGGTATCTTGTTCATACAGACACTCCCAACAAACACCTTTGATGAAGAGCACATTTTTTTCTATAACGGCAGCTTTGCATTACCTACCGACAATTTTTTTATATAACACATCGCTAACCAGATGAATTCACCGTGAAACATTTCGTTTGGTTTCGGTACCGACATTCGTCATTAAGACGCTTCTAAACCAGTATAAATACATTTCAATCAATCGCTCAATGAACAATGTAAAGCACTGTTCCAAATACATGATTTGAGAAAAAAGTTCGTCTGATGTGCTGTTAAATGTAATGTAATCAGACTTTGGGAAAAAAGAGTAAGAGTCTGTTTCATTAACGATACCCGCAAGATAAATCTTGGTCAATCCATGTAAGTAATGCCACGTTCTCAAAAAGAGAACAAGGTAAACATCAACAGAAACAACAGAGAAACTAGCTTCATATCACACAAAGAAATAAAATATTTTTTCAGTGGGATCACCAGGACAACCGTAAAACTTCCACTCAACCTTCATTAACCTGTTTCTCTCTAAACCCTGTTAAAACTTCCTCTCAACCTTTATTAACCTGCATCTCTCTAAACCCTGTTAAAACTTCCTCTCAATATTCATTAACCTGCATCTCTCTAAACCCTGTTAAAACTTCCTCTCAACCTTCATTCATCTGCATCTCTCTAAACCCTGTTAAAACTTCCTCTCAACCTTTATTAACCTGCATCTCTCTAAACCCTGTTAAAACTTCCTCTCAATCTTCATTAACCTGTTTCTCTCTAAACCCTGTTAAAACTTCCTCTCAATATTCATTAACCTGTTTCTCTCTAAACCCTGTTAAAACTTCCACTCAACCTTCATTAACCTGTTTCTCTCTAAACCCTGTTAAAACTTCCTCTCAATATTCATTTACCTGTTTCTCTCTAAACCCTGTTAAAACTTTCTCTCAACCTTTATTAACCTGCATCTCTCTAAACCCTGTTAAAACTTCTTCACAATCTGCATTAACCTGTTTCTCTCTAAACCCTGTTAAAACTTCCACTCAACCTTCATTAACCTGTTTCTCTCTAAACCCTGTTAAAACTTCCTCTCAATATTCATTTACCTGTTTCTCTCTAAACCCTGTTAAAACTTTCTCTCAACCTTTATTAACCTGCATCTCTCTAAACCCTGTTAAAACTTCTTCACAATCTGCATTAACCTGTTTCTCTCTAAACCCTGTTAAAACTTCCTCTCAACCTTTATTAACCTGCATCTC